GGCTTATCATCATCATCAAACAAGTTACCTATTAAATACAGGAGACACTGGATCAGAAGAGGAACTGGGAGAGAATCCATCAATAGTGTGATACTATAGACTAGTGGTTGAATGAGTTACAGTTCCTGGTATTTGAGTAGCAGAAGAGAGAAGAGAAGAGAGGACCAACTGCCAATGCCCAAGATGAAATAATTTTTCTTCCATAAAGTGTCAGCTTTTAATAGTCTCTGTATTGCACAATAGGTGTTAAACCAATGGCAAGGGCATGCTACAGCAAGTTATGATCAATGTGCTTGCATGTACATGTATGTGTGTCAATACAGACATAATGAAATCACATGTGTAACTAACTATTTCTAAAACTGCCTTACTTTGTAAAACTATGAAACACCATACTGTGGATCAGGGACACTTTTCACGCCACAAATATTACCCTCTCTTTCTAAAAATCCTGACTATTCATATTCAAATTAAAGAATTAAGGGGCTCCAGTACTCGCCACGCTCTGACGTATGTACCAACAAACAGTAGCAGCTACATGTACTTCACTAACTGGGCTTTACAGAAGAGGAAATAGAACTATCTAATTAATGTATAGAGCTAACAATAATAATAAACACAACAACTGATGGTGTTAAGGAGACTACATAATACCTGTACATGTACATGTAGATATTAATGTTAATGGAACTCTTGAATAAGGTCATCAGTGTATATATTATTCAAATTTTATTGTCATCTTAATACTTTACTTTCAATAAAATAAGCAAGAGCAGGTCTAAAGTACACTGATTCTACATATGTAATTAATAATAAGATATTTTGATGTAATGTTAGAACAATAATGAACAAGTGTTGATATAAATTCTATGTGTGTGTGTGTGTGTGTGTGTGTGTGTGTGTGTTCAATAACTAATCATCATCATAAACTCAACAAGGGAAACAATAGTTGATTGATTTACATCATCTCTTCTAGATACTTTTCTTTTTCTTGACCATAACTCTCAACTATCACAGCTTTCTTCAGTTTGATGGCACCACATCTCTTCCAAGTATCATACAATACTGGTGAAGGATCATCTCCAATGTACTTCACTATCAATTGAAGGTAAGGTGGTTTAGTTGGTGACAGTGAATTAAAAATTATCTCAAGAGTGGACTGATGAAGATTGGGCTGACCTGCAGATACAGCAATTTTCATATTATTTGTCAATACACTACTGAGCAATGATCTTAAATGATCAGTGTTAATTGTATCATTAATATCAATAGTGATCTCATCTGCTTTAATTGACTTCACTTTAGAAAATAGATAGAGTGTATCATTCCTCGTAATCTTCAATGATTTCAATACAATGTACCGAGGAAGGAAATTAGACAGACTACAAGGGGCGTATGAACACAAACAAGCTACATCAAGTGATTTTGATTGTTGTTCAGTGTTGATAGCTAGAGGTACTTGTGTGGGAACAGTAGAATCCAAAGTAAGGAGGACCTCACTCAATCTCAGTGTCACTGGATAAGGAGAAAGGAAGAATGCAGACAGTAAGGAATGGAGAGCATCAAATGAAGTGGCTGAGTAGTTAGTTTTGATATTCAATTCCCGGAAACACGATTGATACAATATTTCTGATAAACATTGAATAAAATAATAATCACACCCAATTGAGACCAATTCTAAATTTTTATGACGTTTTACAACTTCTTTAAACTTTTCAGCATCTTCACTGGTAAGGTATGCATCAACATCTAATATCTTCAGGTCACACTGCTGTTGAAGATAGTCCAGTAGTAATAAAGGTAGATCTTCACAAATACATGATATAATGCGACACTCATTCTCTATGAATATGATTTTGAAAAATTTTTCAATGTCAGTACCCCAACTCCCAATCCAATGGATTGCCTCAGCTGATTGTGTTAGCTTTTTGAGAATGTCATGATCAAGTTCAAGTAAACAATCAGTGACAATTTTCAGAGAAATGTTTAAGTCAATCATTGTGAGAGCTAAAGCCTCTAAAGGATAATAAAGATAATAGTCTTTAATTGCTTTATTTTTGAAAGTTTCGGTAGTTATAAATACTCCATGTCTCTGTTGTGTCCAAATAACATTGTGAAAAGTTGCTATCTTGTACTTATTATAGACTGATTCTTTAACATGAGTGAAGTATACAGACAACTCTTTATTAGCTTCATAAAACATTGGGTAATTGATTGTTGAGCTCGCCATTGCAGTACTAAAGTATAAATCTTTGCATGAAAATAGAGAATTGTGTTTATCCAGTCACTGATCGTGATTCCTTTCCTTGTAGAGTGTCTCCCATATCTCATCCATTAATATATCAGCAGTAACTGATGTGCCTTCCAACTTATGTACATCTACTGCTGGTAGAAGGAGGAGGAGTTTGATACGAATAGAACGAGGTAGTAATGCTAGTCCAGGAATAGGCTTATCATCATCATCAAACAAGTTGCCTATTAAATACATGAGACACTGGATCAGAAGAGGAACTGGGAGAGAATCCATCAATAGTGTGATACTATAGACTAGTGGTTGAATGAGTTACAGTTCCTGGTATTTGAGTAGCAGAAGAGAGAAGAGAAGTGAGGAGATGCCAACTGCCAATGCCCAAGATAAAATAATTTTTCTTCCATAAAGTGTCAGCT